CCGGTGTGTATACCAGATACGTAGCCGATTAAGAATTATAATCTTTTCATTTTTTTTCCATGCATAAATTATACGATTATGGGTTGCGACCCATATTTATTATAATTTCTCCACACCCAAAACGGAACCGCCGGATACTACAAACGTGTCGCGGTGCACGTTATCTCGTGCCTAGTTATTTTGACTCGTTATAAAAGAATCTTTTTGCAATTTGTTTTTTTTCTTTTCTACACCGGTTCCCTCGTACGGATATATCATATTTACCGACACGTACCGATTTATTAAATCGTTCTCTTACTCGTATTGCTGCAGTATACCCAATCAACGTAATAATTTCGTGATAGAAAAATAAATTTTGAAAGACGTATTATGCTGATTAACGTCGGGGCAGGAAAAAGATACTAATTTGGGTTGACGATACCTTTGCTTCTTCTATACTCTAATAGTCATAGAAAAGCAATAAATTATGACGGTTTAAACAGTTTTTATAAATTTTCAAATTTTTTTGAACATGATATTTGATTTGATCAACTAAATTGGGAACACTTAAAAAACTTGACTAAATAAATGGCCAAAACGTAGTATGTAATATTACATAATTACACGTGTTACGACAGCAAAATATCGGTTTTACAAGCTATTCCAATAATCTCACGAGTTTGTAACCCTACTTTAAATTTTGCGGTTTTGTACAAAACTAAGCTAATGTACTCCTGCTGTCAAACTCTTAAACGGGAAGCTATTCTTTGTGCGGCTATCGCGGCGCTTGAAACAATGTCTGCGCACATCCGATGTTATCGATGGTTATTCATTATTGTTCGGGTCAGGTCACCTATTAGACTCGAAAAACTAGTTCCTGTGCACTCATATTTTTATAAATCGTTTGCGCCTTTAACGCGAAAATAAACCTCGATTGCGGCACAACTGTGCCATTAATCGCATCGACGTCGCAGCCATAACGCACAACAAAATCGAACGATATTACATACTATACGCATTTAAACGCACGTCGGCACGTGTCATATACAATTTTGTCGGATGCGTTGGAAAAAGCGTTTCACGTCGCCGATGACAAAGATCCGTCCGCTTGCGGTGCAAGATGTTTCGACCGGGCACAGATTTCCACCGAAATTCCCGCGGCTAATCGTTTCCTTTCGCGAAATCCGAACAATTTCTACAGCGCACACAAACACGCACGTCTACAATATAGCGCGCGCTTGAGCCGACTACTAATTACGCGGTAAGTACATGGCGGCGGGCGCGCGTATAATAATAGCAACGGCAGCTCGGGACGAGGACAATAACGCGCGTAATCAGATAGGGTAGAAACCGCGGGCTTCGGGAACACGCGAAAAACGGTGGCGGCGAAACGCTAACGTTTTGTCATCGTGACTGGATGTATTAAGTCCGGCTGCCGTTTTCTCATTTACCGTCTTATTATATTATTATATATAGGTATACGTTTTATTCTCGACTTTCTGCGCGAACGCGGTTTCGTGACTTACCCGGTTTAAATATGTTGCCGCGTTCGCAAGCGCGCGCGGTAAAAAATAAATATATATATATATATAATAGGAAATAATAGTTATATCTTCTAATAATAATAATTGACGAAACCCTCTCTCGACATCGGCTTTCCTTTCTCTCCGAACGCGCTCAGTATCCTTCTCGCACGCATTTACGTTTATATTATACACACATACACACACATACATATATATATATATATATATATGTATGTATATATATATATATATATGTAGGAACATTATATATTATACGCGTATACGTTATTTATGATAATAATAATTCTCCACACGTCCGCCGCACGCAAGCGCACGTCAGAAAGTTTGGATTTATTATCGGATTTTCTATCGGCCTCCGCCGCCGCCGTTTATCCATATAATATCTCACAATACGTGTACAATACACGTTTAACATGAACACGCGCACGAGGGACGCGTCGAGGGGGGAGGACGGAAAAAATGACATGTAGACCGTAGGAAAACTACCATCGGACGTCTTCATCGTGCGGAAAAGTGTACACGACCGAGCGACGACCGCGTGCGTGAATAATAACGGATCATCCGTTCGGCCTGCAACGGTTCAATTTTTCCCGCGGCACAAGCAACTCGTTACGCGACCAGCGTACGCACGACGGTAATACGATTGTACGGGATCAACACGTTTTTATTGCTCATCGCAACGTTTTTTCGACGATGAGTTTTCGAAATGTGCAAAAACCCAAGTTTCGGTACGTATTCACGACAAACAATAATCGGACCGAAACAACGCTGCAGTGTCACATTTTTAAAATCTTTGGTCAGGCATTTGATAAGCTGCAACATCCCCCCAAGCGAATGCGCTTCGATCACACGCTGAAGCTTTAACAACCACGCTGCAGTCAAACGTGTATGCGCAACATCCGCACGCGATCGGGCAAGGACCCACCCGGATGCCGGTGTTCCGACGGTATGTTTACATTACGCATACCGGTCGGTCGCGGACAGAAAATCCGCCTCGACAGTGCGCTTCTCGATTCCAACAGGGAACGTATCATCACAACAGAGCCGACGGGTGTACGTTAAACATCCAGCGAGGTAAACGCCGTGGATGAAAAAAAACGGGGCAAGTTTACTAAAAAATAAGTCCGTACAATCGTTACAACAATCCAAGTCTTAAGCTAGGACAGTAATCGCGTTATCGGATGATATTATGTCCGTGGTAAAAGCAGCTTCGTAGTAAACAGTAGAAATCACTCGCAGCGAGCATCCGGGTAGCTGCCGATGAAACCGTACAAAAAGCGTCCGCGGTACGGGCGCAACAATGAAAAGAGTGAAGGTGACCCGCGGGCGGACGTCGGTGCCGTAGAAAAACGTACAAAAGCGGTGCAGGATTATAGGTAGGTGTATTGAGAGTGGCTCCTGTTTGTCGTCGTCGTCGTCGTCGCCGTCGTGTATCCCTTTTTCATGCATCGTTGAAATAACAACGAATGCCGTCTCGGACAATTAATCCGACGATGCCTTGTGCACGTTAAAATAGGTATCGGAATCGTATACACATGTTATTGGTAGGTAACCCGATCGAGCGCGTATATTTACAGCAGTGTGGTGTAAGCGCAGCGTTTCTATTTAAGTCGGTCCGCCTTTTCATCGCGTGGAGTATAGTTGTATCAATCTTAGTCTCTCTCTCAGCACCATGTGTAGTATATAATAATTAGCGGCGCCCGCCGTGAACGCGTCGTCGTATCTCCCAAGACAATGGCTACCGGTACTCGACAATAGAGGAAAACCAATTTTCGACGGTCGATTGTGTACGCGCGCGCGTACAGTACAGTGTATACGTATACACATTCGTCTACCCTCTCCGCCGGCCGCCGCCGATTATAATGCAACGTCGAACGTCTCGTCGTACATTGAAGTCGATCGCCGCCGCCGACTGAACATTGGCGCCGCCACGCTGGACAACGAAAAAAAAAAAAAAAAACATGTATACATAATATTGACATTGTTACGAAAACACAATATTACACGATGATTCGAACTTTTCGTAACCGTCTCCGGCGCGCGCGTTCATCTAGCCACGATCGGTGTGACCGATGCTGAAAGCCACGAGAATTCGGTTCCGAAAACCGAGGAACGACGCACCGGAGAGCGTACCTACCGCCGGGTCGCTACGATTATTTTTTTTCGAAAATCCAAACGCACCTCTAATCGTGATCCAGATCACTTTTTTGCTCTCGGGTTCGGGAATCGTTTACCGTCCGCTATAACACGTCTCTCCGTCCAATCCGAACGCTAATGTCTGTTTATCGTAACATTCGATATTCGCCGCGACAATATCTCGTTGCGCACACCTACTTACGGCGGACCACTGCGGGTATCACGTTATCTCCGGGTGATGGTGACGAGAAAATGGAAAAAAATATATATCTATTACGCGTTGGTTCGGTTACCGAAAACCAGTGTCGCGGGAGCACATTTCGACCGCTCGGTATCATATTATAATAGGCGATTTTAGTAGTAGTCTCTCGTTTGGATTACACGCGCGGGCACGTCCCCGATGCCTGGTGATGAATAATTATTCGAGGCACGTGTTCGACGTGCATAGCTTCGATATAGTTCTCGAGAGTATGAATATAAATTTTTCTATAAGTAATGTTATTACAAATATTGCGGTTCATCCGTTCACTGCGATGTGATAGAAATCAATTTCGCAGCGATTTATTCGCAATTTTCATCGGATATTATCATTTATTTGTATGCTATCGATCCATTCGAGTTTTCGAGCGCGACAAAAAGAATTTACGCGCAACATTTATTTACGATTCAGATTTCGTATTTAGTTCTATTGTCCGTCAAAAAATTGGCAATGATGTTAAACTCACGATGCGGTGAAAGCAATTGGTTCATTATTTCGGTCCGGTGGTATTTTCGTGAACTATTCTGCTTGCGCTCTCAAACGTGACGTACAGAGAAAAAATAAGATCACAAACTCACCAGATACAGACAATATATGTATAACGATTGACATGTTTAGTAATTTAATTGTCTATTTACATACAGGTGTATGCATAACAAGAATATACTGTGTTCATTAACGAGCTACGTTCTACCCTTTACAACGACGTTCAAGTAGTTCGTTTTCTAGTAAAATTCTTAGTACATAAGTGCAGTTGAATAGGATAACGTGCACGCAGATCGCATGTGAATAATTTATTAACGTTTACGCATTATATGTGGGCGTGCGAGAATCATTTTCCCGCGCACATGTTTACACATATATTTACTACTAATTTATTATAAAGTTACCACTGTGCACCGACGCTCGATAGTCGTAAAATGAACGTATAATCTTAACGAAAAGATAAATAATACAGAACGATAAAATGTGTACACTAGGAAATTTTCAATTTTATCACTACACGATTTCAGTTTTTTACTTGCGGTTGGTCTACAGACGTATTGGTAAAGATTTACATGAATATTTTTACGTTGCAGGTGAAGCGATACATTTAGCTCGGGACTTCGGGTACGTGTGCGAAACGGAATTCCCGGCTCGGCAAGTAGCCGAGTATCTGAGCAGACCGCATACAAGCGACCCGACAGAGTCGTATCGGAGAAAAGAGCTTATACACGCAACAAAGTGAGTGCAAAGCGCACGTCAGTACATCGTGTAATACAGTCATTCGTTAACCGTTTTTAAGTTCAGTTATAAAAGTTCAAGGCTTCAGTTGGGCAGGATGCAAGGGGACTCGGTCTCTCTACCTCTCATAACGCTTAAAAAACGTCTCCTTTAACATTTTTCCAAAAAGTTTTTCGGAACGCTTAACTATTTTAGTAAAAATCACCCGTGTTAAAATTACCAATTAGTTACAACTTAATACACGAACAGAAATGTTTCAAAATTATCAATGCTGATGGTTCCAGAAAACGGTGTTTTACAAACAATAATTGACTCATCCAGTGTCCTACTTGACTAGAGGTTGACTAAATGGGCGATTGCCAAAGGCGTAGCAAAGTAAGGGGGCGCATTTGGGTTAAATTAAAATTGATTTTTATCGATTAAATGAGCGCCAAAAATTATATTCGTCAAGGATACCTCAGAGGATAATTACGGCATTGCTCGTATCGTATTAATTATATTTTATAACTAATTAGTAATTGTACGGAAATGTACGTGAACGCTAAAAATGGAATATAGGGATCAAATTCTCTCTTGCGTTTTTTTTTTTTTTGTTGCCTCTAAAAGCCATGAATATTTTTAACTATGCATTATTACGGGGATCGCATGTATGATAGTGCATTATGATGCGTTTGTTCTTGATTCGTTTATATAATTCGATGTTTCGAATATATTTATCGTTGCAATTATATTATAAATGTTGCATTTTGCTCGCAGGCAAGTAACCAAAGAGCTGATGGACCTGCTGAATCAAGATCGATCGCCATTGTGCAACACCAGGCCGCAGCATATACTCGACCCAATCATACAGCGCCCGCTGACGCATTTTTCGCTCATATCACACGGATTTGGCAGTCCCGCAATAGTGGCCGCGCTTACGGCCATACAGGTGAGTCTTTGGAGTTCTTTTATTTCTGAGCTTTGCTACTACTACTTTTGGGCCCGGAGTCGATTTTTCAAGGGAGCCTTGCGTTAGAGATTATACATTCGGAAAGATGCATAACTGCACGAATTAGCGTCAGACAGATGTACATTGAACAACATAGGTATTACATATTTAAACGGTTCCGTTTAGAATACATGTTGGTAACGTTCTTAACAATGTTCATTTGATTTGTGTACCGTTTAGGCTTCGACCAATTCCGTAGGTATCACCATAGAATCAAGAATTCTCAAATCCACAGTATTGTCAAAGTATACGCTATAAATTGAATTTTGAAAATATCTTCTCGAGGAATTCGTCCAGCACAAGAGAAACTTGTCAAAACACTGTGATACGTAAAAATGTATCTTATGTAGTTAGCGGCGAGTGGTATCACATTATTGGGCAGGGAAGCGATTTATTATAAACAGGAAGGAGCCGGAGAGGAAATGGTCCTTGGTCTATGTACGTAGGCCTCGAGTAAAAGAAAATATAATGTACTTGTATCTATATCCAATATACAAAAATTTGTGGTTTTCATCAAATTAAAGCAACACATTTATGCACTATCTATACTCATCCGGGTTTCCACTTGAGCTTCTAACTGTGGGTGCTAGCTCACTCAACATAATTTATTGAGTATCCATAGTGTTCGCGATATAATAATACGTTTGGATGTACGATTTTTGCAGAACTTCTTGTCGGAATCGTTGAAACACTTGGACAAGGTGTACCCTTCGGGCAACAGCCTGTCGTCGCAACAGCAACAGTCAGCCCAATTGCAACAGGACCAGAAACCCAAAGACCTGGTGGGACTGGAGTTGAAAAAATGAGCCTGGTCGAGGCGGGTGCATCGCGAACCTGCCGGCGGTCTGCAGCAGCAGCAGCAGCAGCAGCAACTGCCACCGAACAACAATAGGCTGTCCTACGACGATCGCCGCCGTGGCGATTGTTGTTAATAATTTCGCGATTACGAGTGCAACTGACTTGCACCGAGATGCCCGTGATCCCGTCGTGTCGCGAGTTTCCGATTCTCTTTCTCCCCATCCGCCCCGGATGAGATTCAAATTTATATATTTTCTTACGAAAACGCTACAGCAGACACGCATTTGACGGACGAGCGAAGGGCCTCTGGTCGACCGATTCGTAGGCGCGAGTAAATGTACAAATTAATAAAATTCAATAATTATAATAATAATAATATTAGTAATATAATTATAACAAATATACATAAATATCACGTGTATTAGCGTGTTAGAATATGTTATATATAATAATATATATATATATATATTAGAATATGTTACTGTAAATAATCTCTATGGTATAATAATAATAAGAATAAGAATAATAATATTACTAATATTAATAATAATAATAATGTATTAAATATAATATCAATAATAATTAAGTATATAATTTATTATAATATTATATAGTTAATGTATACATTTTTTTTTCGTTTTTCTTTTCGGACTATCGAAATGTTTTTTTTTTATTATTTTTATTATTTATATAAATACGTAATTTAATGTACAATACGATTGTAATTCGCATACAGTGTTTTTTTTTTTTTTTTTTTTAAAATATTTATTTTCGTTTTAAGATTAATTCATGGTTTCGATAATCATAAATCATACATGATTTCCCGCCCCTTCATGTGCCATCAAACTCTTTCGACTCGTTAAGATTACCATATATAATACATACTCAAAGTATGTGTTGTAAATTATTATTAATTATTGTCGACAATGCAAAACACATGCGTAAGCAATATAATATTGTCGTAGCATATTTTATATTTTGTACGCATCTCATGGGTTATGTTTTTATAATTTTAATTGTATTCGAATCTTTTGAATAACATGATCATTTTATTATTATATAATGTTATATTATGCGATACGTTCACCTACGTAAAGAAAAATCAAAATCAAGTAACAAATTAAAAACCCATCTAGTTTTTAGACTTAGTAAAAACGTGTCCAGCGTATATGAAATAGTAATATATAATAATAATTCATAATAATGCCTTGCCATAAATATTAACTTATGATCTTCGTTATTATATATTATTATTATAATTTATAAGAATATCGTTTTTTTTTTTTTTGTAATCATGTACATAATTATTTTTACTAGAACCAAATCTTTTTTTTTTATATATATATATATATAATATATACTTGATCGTTTATGTAATATTTTATTATTTTCTACTCGACACTTTTTCAAAATGAAAACAAAAGTGTATGAAATATTATATTATGTGATAAATACATATATGACATATATTATAGTTTTGATTTGTGTACAACATATAAAAAAAATTATAATTTTGCTCGACGAGTTTTATTTTATTATGATTTTTTATACACACAAAGAGTATAATAATAAAAATAATAATATATATATATACACACGCGAGACAAGAATATATACATAATTATTGTACATAGAGTTTACGGGAAAAACGAAAAATTGTATCATTATTTGTGTAGTTTTTCAATGCAATGCTCAAAATATTACTAAATGTTATTATAAACGGCGTTTTTGTTGTGCCTTACGTTCACGCTCTCTCTCTCTCTCTCTCTCTCTCACTCATCCCGCTGGACCTGGCACGTGTCATATGAACTCCAGCAAACCCTCAGGTTTTTCCGTCCAACAACCCAACCGAGTCTTGACCGCCGTCCATCGGCGCCGGTACCACGTAGCTTTGGATTTGATTTGCGCGTACGTAGCCCGATCGTCGTCGCCGACGTCCCGCAAACGTTTGAACGCTAAGAGCAACGACTTTTTGCACAGCGCCGACGAGCTGCTTGGCTTGTGCATCGTTTTCTTCGTCGCACCCTGTTTGCGGCCGTTCACCAACACCTCATGGCAACTGCGAAAACGAAACGGTTTCACAACGGTTCTCAAATTACAGGTGGCCAACAATCTTTTCGCGGTAGCCAAAGTATAAAATAATTAGTAAAATATGACGATAACCATGGTTGAGGATTACGATTGATAAAAGATCACCGATAAAAATTTTATATTAATCATATTAAGTCGCTCAAAATCTTGGTGACACTATAGGGGGCCACGGCCTCAAAAGGATTGAAAATCGCTGGTACAGTGTAATACGATGATGACTCAGTAAATCGAATTTTTCTGACGAGTTCAACAGGGACAGCAATTATCCCTTTTCGCGATCAGTTCGTTATGTATACGAATCTCGTTAAGTCATATTAATCCTCATATCCTAAACCTTATAGCCGTCGAGATCTGTTTTTAACAACAGAGACGTGTCATCGCAGCATAATCTATGTACAGCTCAAAAAAATTCAGTGCTGCGACGAAGAGTTTTCTAACTCGTAAGTGTTCTGTATACTATAATGTCGGCAAAATGAAAAAAAACAATTTATATAAATGCGTATTGGGCAGTTGTTAGTCTACGAAAAAATACTTGAAAGTTAAGATAAAAACACTTTTCTCGTTTTAAACAAGATTTTATGTTGTAATTTCATCTGATACCGTCTGTTATAAAATAAAGTATAATGTGAACGCACAGAGGTTTACCCTAACGTTGTTTTTACTATTCGATTAAAATAAAGTTACATATAATGATAAAACTTACTACGGCCACGAAAGTATGAACTGTAGTTCAAAAAGGTATATGTTAATAATGGCATTCATAGTCTGGTATGTATATCTGGAAGTTAAACCATGTGGTTTTTTTTTACCGGCCTATACTTAATCAGGCGCGTACTGACCCACCGGGATACCGGGAAAATCCCAATACGAAATCTCAAAAGTTATAAGACCTAGGCTCCTTACCAAATAAGTACTTCTAATTTCAGTTAAATTCAGTAATTTTATTGTTTTTAATAATTACAAGACAATACTGATGGACAGTCGAATTCTTAATTTAGTACCCAATGGGAAATGAGTAAAACATGCAATTTTTTGAATAATTTAATTGATTTTCTTTTGGTAAATATTTTTGTTACCATTATTTCGATTATTAAAATCGTTTGATTATTCCTTTTGATTATTCTCAATACTAGTTGTAACATCACCAGCAGAATCGGTAAATAATGTTGCTGAAGTTCGGCCAAAAAAATGACCTGTATCAGCTCAGGAATACAGTAAATTTAAATATATTGCAATTTCTTCATGAATATTTTCAATTTTGTTTTTTTCAATAACCTGCCCAATGTATTAACCGTTTTTATAACTAAAAAAAAAATCTATCTAACGTTACATTTGTGGGTCATAAAACCATGAATTTCTTAAAAATATCATATAACTCCCCTTTAATATTAAATGATCGTGAACAATTTATTTTTGAGTAAAGAAATTTAATATGTAATATATATTTCACTAATGAATATTACATATATCGTAATAAATGAATGGAGAATGAATAGCCCATATATATAAAACAATTTCATCTCACCTACCTTTTTACTAAGTATTGAATATCAGGAGCTTCGTTAATGAATTTATTATATCGATTGAAGTCAAAACTTTGGAATTTTTACTATTAATCCACTCGATTTTCTCTTTAAAAAAACTTGAAATTTTAAATAAGTACCATCGTTAATATTATGTTTCATATTTTTCATGTTTTAAAGCACTGAATAAATAGACCATAGAGTTGACGGTTTAATTTTTGTAGATAATTAGTTAAAAATTTTAAGAAACACATTTTCCGACGATTTGATTTTATTTATTTTTCTCAATTTTATAAGTTTTTCATAAGCCATTCTATTATCTTTCTTTTGATTTTGCAGGCAATAGATTTAGTGAAACAGCATTTACTGTTTCAACCATGTATGGTGAAGTTAATAGTTCACTACAACTACAGTACTGATTGTCACTTTCGTATTTATGCTTGTTTGCGCGCTTCGCAGTCAAACCATCACTGGTTCAATTGAGTGACGTACTCGCGTCGATTGCAATAAAAAAGAAAACTTAACAAAGATAATTAATGAAATAATAACAAATGCCGGGATAAACGGGCCAAAAGCGCCACAGTTATATTAACAAAAAAAGCAATAATAAATATGATAAATCTAAAAATAACAATAAAATCACATATGCTCCAAACGCGTTGTAATAATATATCAAGAAAAATTTTATAAATATAAATATAATATTTTTATCAAATATAACGGAGGATACCTTGGACGGTCTGACGTTCGAGTGGTTATGCCCACGCGACCGTGTTCACACGTGCGACGAACGCCACAACCGGCAGAAGAATCGGTTGATCAGCGGCGTCGGTCTCGAATAACTGGCTTCTCAGCGAACGACAATAACCGAAAGAAAATTTCGCGGACACGGGTCAGCTATGGTTCGAACAGTCGTCACACACACGAAGTTGTCCCCGGAGATGGCGACTCCACCGTGCTATGCCGCAACCACAAAAACACAAGGCCGGTGGCACGGCAAAAACGACGAGTCGGAGAGAAAGTGTCGGCGGAAAAAAGTCTCGGCAATAATGGCGTCCACGGACCGGTGATAATCGTACCGCAATAACGCGCCGATCGAAAATGTTCGAACATCACACGCCGACACCGTTATCGGGTGCTCCGGTTAACAAGAAATAAAATAATTTTAAAGGCGACGTGACACTTGCGCGAACGATCTCATTTTCTAATTCGAATTATTATATAAATCGCGCAAAACAAATTTATCCGTAACGCCCAACGCACATGCATGGGAACCGTGAAAACGAAATATGTTTAAATGTCTATGCGTCGTGCAAGGAGGTTGTAAATATGTGTATAAGATTTAACCGAAAGTTTATGTTTTGTACGGACCGTGGTATACATTTAAGTTTTTGGTTGTGCAGGGAATACGCGGCCAGCGCTCTTGGAAATTTCCATTTTACTACACGGAGTTATAGGGATTTCCACTTTCCTTCCACCCGCACTTTTTGGGATTTCCATTTTACCGACCACCGCTATGGGATTCCCATCTTACCGCCCGCTGGACGGATAAATGGGACATTACAACGCTTTGACCGTGGTCGAAAACCAAACTTTTGGTACAGGTGTGACAATACCTATAGAGAGCCATGTTTTAATTTCGATTACCGTTTACCTTTGTGTTTATCATTTCGATATCTACGTTTGTATAGCACTTACGAGTGTAATGAGAACTTTGAATGGCTGATGAAATTATCTTTTGGGATGAAAGTAATTCAACAACGGACGATTCTATAAGTAAGGGAGAAGGTTTTGGAATTTTTCAAGAATTTCGTGGAAGATTGAATGCTCTGCACACGTTTTCAACGTCTATAATAATACACAAAAAACAATAAGATATATATATTGAAATAATAGTCTTGAAAAATTCTTCCGATATCGTCAAAAATTTTCGTTCTCTCTTGAAATAACAATTATGTACCGTCACCATAATAACACACCTTCACGAAAACAAATAAATTGATCTTGTGCCATCGTTATTAATATACCTAAGTTATTTTGAGTATAATAATTTTTATCAAAAGTAAGACTTTAAAGTTTATTATCAGTGCTTTTTCATATGTAAAAATTTACATTCCAATGGTTGTCAAAATTTAACACAAAAGATTTTTATTGATTTTTATTTGAAACGTAATATAATATACTGTATAAAATGATTAAAAGAAAAATAACATGGTTTATTTGATAAGAAAAAATAAATAATCAGTGTTATGCATTATCTAGAAAATTGTATCTAGATGATTTATCTAAATAAAAACATTAATCTTTTTATATTATCAAGATAATAATTATTTGAAGTATCGTTTTAAATAAAATGGTTATCTAAGATAAATTAACTAGGTAGGGAAAATGGACCCAATACGCGCCTTTACTTAATAACATACAGAATATAACTGTTTAATGTTTATGAAATACTGCCAAAAATACGTTTTACGAGAAACCGTTGTAACAAACAATGTATTACCTACACGAGTAATTAAAATCGAAGCAACGCAATACAGCTGCTAACATATTATAACGGTTACACGTAAACGTGTTAAACACTTTATATTAATAATAAATAAATGGAAAGAAGTACTATTCGAATGTAATAAGTTACTACCATATAAGGGCACGTGAAAAAAATATTTTATCTTGCTCGGTCAGTTGTTGGCTTTTAAAAAGTCCACGTACCTGCTGTCACCTTCCCACCACACCACGCTGGACGGACAAGGTTTACAGGTCACAGCCAATCGGTGTTTGGCATGTTCGAATTCTAAAACAGATCGCATCAGCTGCAACGCCGGTCGGTCAGACTTCGGCTCAAGTCCGTTATCTATTACTCGGTCGATTACTGCTCGACGCAAAGCGAGCTCAGAGAACGGACAACCTCCGCCCACGATCAACGATGACAAATACACCGGCTCGATCAACAGCGACAGTAAAGCTCCCTAAAAAAAAAAGAAAAACCACCGTGTTTATGGAAATAAAGATCATGACGTAGAGTCATTAGGATGACAAGTTTTCCGACCTAGTATCTCCCTTCATCTATCTAAAATAACTTTCATTATTTATCTTCTCTCACCCATCTAAAAAAACTCTCATCATTTTAACGTGCACCATACAGAAACGCTAATTTCTATGTTCTCAAAGTATCTCGGATCTCGCCTGAGCAAGGGTTTAGTATAAATACATGTTGACAAATAACCATAGTCCAATGTTTTCTTTTTATTTAGTGTTGGAAAAAACGGATAGAAAGATATGTTAGGATGGGTTTCAAGTTCTACACCGATTTCATTCGCTATTCGCGCCAATGTATTTACTGTTTAATACTATGCAATTACTATGCTATTCTACATAGTACTTTTTTTTTTATCATACATGTACATTTTGTTTTATTAACTATCCCTTTCATCACGAAAGCATAAAAAATCACTGTGGTCCATCACACTATAATTACTTGCACGCCAATTGTGTGCCACCGGAACAACTTGTCACTACACGAGACGGATAAAGTCCGGTCCCCTCGGCCTGGTTTTGTTCGAACTGCTCCAACCACGTGGTAGGCTGTACCCGGCAAATGTGGATCTTGCTTGGTCTCGTCTTTTAGACATTTAGCTCCGGTTCGGTGTATGTCATCGTCGTCGTCTGAAAATTTGCGTTTCTTCACGTCTGGTCCAACTGATTCGTTTACATTTTCAGAAGCCGACCGTTTATCGGACATATGTTTGACATCATCATTACTAGGGTCTTTGGGAAATATCGAAGCGTCACCGCACGGCGTGTGACTAGAGAAAAAATGGAACATTATGTCAGGTCGTAGGGCAAGAAGGTGACGAGGATTACTAGAAGAATACGAGAGACTTTCAGAGGGCTCTACAGGACTCTCTCGTGAACCGTCTGGTGCTGAAACGAATATCGACGGCCGTTTTTCGCGAGCCGATTCGATTTCTTGTAAAAAGTACCTCAACAAAGCTCTACGCGCCAAAACCTGAAACACGGTTTATGGTAAAACGTTGCAAGAATACAAGTGATTACGGAAAACAAATGAAAACCCATCTATGGTCTTACAAGACTTTGAAATTTTCCAAAATAAAAAAATCTTGTTTTTCTCGTCAAGTAAACTTGCATATAAATTTAGTAATAGTTACTATATTCGTCTTTCGTGAACATTTTGTTGTAATTCAACTGAATTCATGAAATATACATACGAATACATATGGATTATTATATATTCACATAAAAAGAAAATGTTCACAAGCCTACATTTAAATTTCACAATAACTCATAAACAAGGGCTAAATACAATTTTGAAAACACCCACATCATAAATAAAATCGCCCTAATCAAATTCTTAAACCTAAAACTTTGTAGTTTATACGCAAATTTAATTAGTTTGGTTTAGATCCTCAACTGTTATGGATGATTTTTTAGAAATTCGCAATTGCTCATATTTTATAGATAAGAATTGATAATACATAAAACATTAAATAAAGAACTATAGAAATGGAAATATGAAGAAACTGCTGTTTTTAAAAACGACGGGGAAACAGAAATAAGGATAACAATTTTCTAATAAATTAAAATCAAAATTAATTATTAAGGTTCTTAAATTATTGGAACACACTTGAGAAGTTAGGATAAATGCCAAAGTTATCAACTTTCGTGTCTTAATCATAACCTACCTCGGCATGACTGTCGTTGATCACCGTGCCGTTGGCGCACAGTTTATTCATACCAATACATTTAGTCCCGGAGGCTATGGAGACGACTTTCAAGCGATCTATTGAATCTTCGACCGATGACTGAACGACACCCGACAACAACGTCCATTCTTGGCCGGCTACAGGTTTGCCCTTGGTTGATAAACTGTCGAATTTTTCCAAACACAATGCGGCCACTCGGTCCGCAAGGTTTCCGGTTGACGTTTTGACGAACATACTATCGCATGAGAGTACTAAAATATAAAATCAGTTTATAAAATTTGGTCATAATTCAGTAATCTAAAATACCAGAAACTTAATATGTAATCTAAAATATAGTACGTTTGCCTCGGGCAAATGTTAGGAAAAAACCAAACAAGGATTATTTTGATAAGTATATCTGTTTAGTCAGTTAGTCTATAGATTTATAATTACATACGTTACTTTACGTCCTGAAATTCAACTGAAAATCCGCTATAAGATAATAATACAATGTGTTATCGAGGTATTTTCACGTCACACGCAAATATTCGTTACATTAAAAACCTATAATTTCGAAACCAAGTCTTACCGGCAAATTGAAGCTTTTGTTCTTTAACGTTCGTTTAAATTTTGAAATTCAGTATTTCTGATAATTTTTACGAATACTAATGATTAATTATTAATGTTTTTAACATTTTTATAAAAAAAAAAAAAAAAAATTAAAATTAAATTAGTAGCGGATTCGTTTTATGATAATAGTCTAGATCTTTAATACCTAACTACTACGGCTATTATAAACGTACACTTTGCTCTGGATCGTTTGATTAAATACGGTATTTTATTACCAATAAGCTTACCAAACGTTTTATGTGTACAGTCAGTGTACAGATTCGTCCGATTGGTATTCGATAACACTTGAATAAGACTCTTCTATATCATCTTTCTCGCCGACCGCGAACGTTGGCCCGTCGTCTTCTATTCGAACAGGACTCGATGATGATGTTGAAAAACCAAAAATTTTAACGGCAGACACTGGACAGCAATCGAGTCGAACATCCAAGCCGCATCGGTTATCACTATCGCGTGTTATCACAGAATATTTATTTCGGCCACGGATCAAGATATACAGGACTGATAACGGTCTGCCAGGAAGGTGGTAGAGAGCCGGACACAAAATATTTTATGCAGGACATCTAGCGCTATCTAGCAGCATTAGAGCTCTTCCAACATTATTTTTTTTTTATAAATTGGTGTAGAAAATTAAATTACATTGTCTCATGTGTTTACATTCGCTCCATTATAGTAAACATTGGAGTGTTCATTTACTATTTAATAGAACGTCTAGAGCTACTCGATTTATTTCAACAATTGTATTTACTGGTTTTTAAATTCGCGTTATATAATACTATTGAAATACCTCGCCAGCATTCAGTATTTTCAAGTTCCGGTAAAAGACTGTCCGGTGTGTAATCGACGCGTATATCTTAGTCCGTGATTTCGGCCGACAACTGATAAGGGATCAAAATGTTTGTCCTCTCGTTGGCGCGTGCGATTTCTTCAAACCTGAAGACCGCGCGACGGGTCGACGTTCCAATGTCACTCTTCCTTTTCGTAATGATTAACAACAATCACGACGCCGTTTAGAAATTAATCGCTTATCGTGTTGCGTAACAAACGGTCAGAGGTACCATTGATTAAATATACAATATTTCTAGCTAAATATCAAAACAGTTTTTAGTATAATATATATGCAGGCCGCGATCACTAATATGACCCCTATGACTGAATTAATTTTGTCTCACTCAGGCAATATGATATCATTTGATTATGTAAAAAAATTTCATGAAATTTAGCAAATTGAAAATTTGAAGTTTGCCAATTAAGTTCATTACATATATTTTATAAAAACAAAAAAAAATGAGTGTTCCTTTAGTAGTCAGGTTTTGAGTAGCAGCGTAGCTGATGCATTACAGTTCTTACAATCAAATAATAACGATTTTAAAAATTATACTGCTATTATTGAATTTATTAGAATTTTTGATAGAATATTTGACATTATGAACGTTAGAAATAGATTTGGTAAAAGATATAAGTCTCCTATGAAATTGAGCAATACATTTGTTTGGGAAGAAATATTTGAGAACGCTAAGAGTTATACCTGTATCATATAATTGAAATGCGAGGAAAAGAATATTTTATAACACCGTAGGAAAACCTTTGCATTAAGTTTTTTGATTAATATTTTGAGCTATAAAAATGTAGCATTAGATTTATTAACAAGAAAAAATGAACCATTACTATATTTTCTACATTATAAAATATCCCAAGATCATAACTATTCATTAATGCCAGTAACAGATATGTTTGTTTTACTCATTTTAAAAATCGAGGCAAACTGAAATTTGTATCTATGTTTATTTTTGATATAATATTATTCACTGAAAAATGTTAACAAGCATATTCTTCAAATGTAAAAAATAAAAACTTTGTAAAAGATATCATATTAAAAGTTCAAAGATAATTTTTAGATCAAGTAAAAAATGTAAATCCTATACATCCAGTTATTGATACACGTACTTTAAAATTACACGAAATGAAAATCGTAAAATTTTATCACATCATATTTATATAGAGTTCAATGTTGTATACTTAATCTATGGAGGTACGCATTTCATAACATTTACGATAGATTTTAAACACGGGATCTGAGAACCCCTGGTTTAGGACGTACGCACGATAGAGGCGTACTGATATCGATTCCGATGTGTTTATCAACAAAAAGGACTGTCGATTAAATGTACCTGGTAATAAGTTTATTTTGTATTTGAGTTTCTCGTATTTTCTGCATTTTCGTCGTCATCCGTTTTCTGACGAACATTTGGTCGTTGTGGTTTCGTTAAGGGTCTCGGCGGTCCATCTGAGCTCACCGGATACCATGGTCGCTAACGAGGAAACGATCGACGAAAACAGTTTGTCCGAATCCAACTACAAGGAACAGTACAAAGAAATGAAGAGGAAATTGAGACTGTTGATCTACGTAAGTTTTATGACCGTAGACCAATTGAGACCGTTTCAATTTTAACACCATTTGCACATTAATCGTTAAGTTTATCAAACACTTGTCTGGTCTATAAGCGATCAATATACTTGTTTATTTAATATTGAATGTATTGTTTTGAAGGAGAATGAAATCTTTCAACTAACTCTGAAGACCACCCAACGAAAACTTCTGAGAGCATCACGAGACAAAAGCCTATTACTAGACAGGTTAATACAATATGAACGCGTTGAGCTCAGCAGCAGCGATGATGAACTGACAGAGTCATCAGATGACGGCGATTGCATCAAACCAGAACCCAAAAAGTATATTGTTCACTTTAATTCTAAAGATGATTTAGATTTTTGTTGATTGTATACGCCTCAAAATGTATTAAATTTTTTTCAGGAGACAGTGTATGATATAATATCTAATGTTTCTGTTTTGATTGATAGGTTTTAAATTAGCATAGTAAAATTTATAATAGGTTTGGAATAAGACTAAGAAAATTATATATTCTAATTTTTGTTTATCTTATAAATACATAAATTAAATCTATGCTCTTAAGTTACTTACATAATATTGTTTTATCCGTGTAGTAACAAAATTATGTTTTAATATAATAGTAATATTTTAAATAAAATATTACAATGAGAAATTATAATTAAAATATATTTATATATTTTGTAATTTCAGACGAAAAGAAACCCAAGGTAATAATTCTATGGCTGGTGTTGGTAAACAGTTGAACAGTTGTCAAACAGCTACTTCAAATCCAACCAAGAAACGCAAACCGTCTACACCTAAAGTTTCAAAATCAGCATCTGTGGTATAATTCAATTAAACTTATCCATAATACACATTTATTATATGAATAAATTAAAAAAAAAAAAGTATGTCATTGGCAATAACAGATGAAAAACTTTCTAGTTTTTAACATTTATTTTCTAACAATTCCAGGGGCTTTTATTTAATTAAAAATATTTTTTATTAATACCTGTTTTTACTAACTTACTATTAAATTTTAAACCTTTATAAAAATAAATTAAGCTTTACTGGTGCCAATTAATTTTTTTTTTAAATATTTAAAACTTTTTCATTTAAAATTGATTTTTTGTGTTTACAAAATTAAACAAATTGTAATTATAAGTATTAGATTTTTTTTTATTATTTATGGTAATTTTTTTAATTTGTTTTCAGTCACTTCTACCAAATGAACCTCATTCTGAAAATGTTTTGTCAATATCAGAAACCAACAAGACATTAGTCGACTCCAAGTCCGGAAGCAATAGTTATAATCAACATACATTACCAACCGACATGTTTAATGACAATTTTTCAGTTAAAAGTGAATCAAATAGCTTGTATGACATGGATGCATCTCCAAGTAATGTCACCGAAGATATGATCAACATTGAAAGTGTAGGAAAATAAGTTTAAATTTTGTTGAGAATTTGTATTTATTGTTTTTCATTGTACATACATTTGATCTATAAAAAAAAGATAAGTATATTTTGTATAAAAAATGTCGTTTAAAAATGTTATGCATTCAAAAACAGTTTTTTTAATTTAAATCCTTTCTGACCATTATAAAATTGTATATGTCAATTAAATACCCAGAATATTTCACTGACATCACTTATACATATACTATAAAATTAAACAAATACAAATGCATGTAAATATAATATATAAGTAAATCTGTTAATTGGTTTAAAATATTGTTCAGACTTTACTTGGCGTTACAATCTTATATGTATACGAAATTGTACAGAAAATAATTTATTTGACAAATTTAAAATATTAATATCGCATTAAATGAGAAATTGTTTTTCTTTTTATTTACATAGTGTTTTACATTTGAAATGACAGTACATATTTCAATGAATATTACAATTGGAAAAAAAAATTGCCTGCGTAAAAAGGTCATCAAAGTTGTTTATACTTCTAGGTAATTTTTTTCTAATTTTAATATTTTATAGAGGGATTTTCAGTCACATTAAATTTGAAACACAATGTATACTTAATTAAGCAAAATTTGATGTTTTCTCCAAGCAATTATACAAATATGCTGTTGACACGAAGAGATTTACATTATTTGACATTTGGGTCGTCTTCGGCGACGGTCCTCGGACAATTCTTTTGGATGATTTCGTATGATGCGCACCACCTATCAATGTTACACAAAAAATATTTAATATCAATATCATTGAAGAGTATTATTGTTCATTACATAACCCACTATGGAAGCAGAACCAACAAATTTGAAATACCTATACACGCAAGTTTTAAACGATATGGAGTTCACAAAATGTAACCAGCATGTTGTAAGGACATAGATTTAATATACAATATTTAATCAATGATAATAGCTTTAGAAGTGTTAAGGATTCTGTTATTATAATACCTTACTTTTATTTATTGACCTCACTAATGTACATTCTAGGTACTTTTAGTATTTATTTTACTTACTAACCTTAAGGGGATTTTACTCTCCTTGCAGCTGTATTAAATTTAGATACATTTATGTTTTATAAATGGAAATATTACCTACATTATTAATTTTTTGATTTTCGGAAAATCAACTTTTATCATGATAATTTTTAATGAATTATAGCTAACAAGTTGTTACTAAAAGACTTCCTGAACACCGTAAAGTAATAAATTACATGATAAAAAACTGATGTCAAAAGAAATTTGATAAAAAATTGATTGGTAGAAAATCTATCAAATTATAAATACTTTTGAAATTTTTTTAATTTTAAGATTGAATATACAATGTTTGAAAATAATTATAAATAAAAATTAAAAAAATTTAATATACTAAGGTTTATTAAAAACAATGTTTCTATAATATCCGAGACCAGCTCAAACATTGTGATTAAATTTTATGATTATACAATAAAAATGGTATTTTTTACCCTTGTCTTCTCTTCATACAATATAAGGTTGGCCAAAATCTCCACATAGTTTTGACTACCTTACCTTGGTGTTATTTTTCCTATACCACAGCAGTTCCCAAATCTTTTTGAGTCACATATCCTCAAAACAAAAAAAATTAATCACACCCTCAACAAAACATTTTTTATTATTTAAATATAAGCAAATTATTGTCGATCTTTAAAGTAAATAAATGTTAATATAATATATAATATAAATATTTGTCTTGTGTCTCCTTAATAAGTGCTTGCGACTCCCAGGGGAGAATATCATATGGTAGCTGTTATATCCCAAGAAATTATTTGGTGAGTAATTTTATTCTCTAATTATTTCTCACCATGATTGCTCTTACAACTGTAGTAAAGGTTTTAATTGATCCCTATGCATATGCGTATGATCTAACCTTACTTTTAATATAACAAATTTGTACTACAAAAAAAAATGTGTACAGACTATTTTATTGTTGCACAAGATGAAAGAAAAATTGGAATGAAAATAAGTTACAAATACAGTTTGCATTGTTTCTTAGATATAACTACCTCATGGAAAGCACCATCAATATTTTGCGGTGGATCTTTGGCACTTGTTTCCATGTATGGTAAATTCAATCGGTTGGCCATTGCGCGTCCTTCACTCTCGCTGATCTTGCGCAAATGCACAAGGTCCACCTTATTGGCGACCAACAAAATTGGATATTCATCTCTGAAAAATTAGAAATTAGAATATCAAATATTAGTTTTACCATTAAAAATTTAACACTCACCTATCTTTGACCCGAAGAATCTGAGTAAAAAAATTAGGAACGTTTTTAAAACTATTTGGGTCAGTTACGGAATAAACTATCATGAAACCGTCTCCTTTTCTCATGTATTGCTCACGCATTGCGCTGAATTCTTCTTGGCCAGCTGTATCCAACACTGCAGAAAAATTAAAAGAATAAAAATATGGAAAAAAATACTAAGAAAGTTTTCATGTAAATAAAACAACTATTGGTTATTGTATGTAATTCTAGCTCGAATTACTCCTTACATTATTTTTTTTAATACATTTAACTTATTGTAAAATGTATAGCTTTTATAAAAGTCATATAAATGTATAGTTAAATGAGTTAATAAATTATATACATTCTACATAATAATACAATAATATTAATTTTGATAACATTTAAGCAAAAATAAATAGAATGCTGATAATGGCGAATATTTCATAACGATTATATCCATATTTGGACAACTATTACTTATCAGAGCAATATTTTTATTTAATAATTTATATGTTTTAAATAAGTGATACACTTTTATCCCAGTTAAAGTTTCTTTTGCCATTACCATAAACAAAGCGCAAGGTCAAACATTCAAGTACGTTAGCGTAGATTTTCGTACAGAGTGCTTTTCACATGGGCAATTATACGTGGCATTTTCTCGAACTAGGGACCCGAATCATCTTATGATTTTAATTTCAACAGGAAATATAACAAAAAACATCATATACTCAGAAGTCTTATAAAATTCTTATTTTAATTCTTTTTTTTTCTTTTTTTTTCTTCGTCAACCAAAAATTATTTCTTTTTTATCTGTATTTATTTTTATCATTTATAACGCTAGAAAAATTTCAATCCATTTTCATTAACCGTTTTTTTTTTATATTTACTTGCCGATCACATTAAACAATAATATTTGAATAAAAAATTCTACATATCATGGTCTGAAGGCAAAATAAACAACCAATCACGGGCGAAGCTGTGACGGGTCGGCTAGTATAAAATAAAAGAAAAAGCTCAAAAGTTGCTCAAATTTTTTGAAAATGCTATCATGTCTAGGTAAGGATAATATAATTAAAGCAACCCAAATTTCAAGTTTTTACAAATGTTTTTAACCGAATTACAACAAAAAACTCCCAAAATTAAAATGTCTATAAATAGATCAAAAATTGATGAAATTTTCGAAATTTGAACCGTAAGGAATAAAATCCAAAATACAACAAAAAAGATTTTATGTAATTTTTCATTTGAAGCAATATTTCTGGTAGGAAACGTCGTTCATAATTATTTAATATTATAAAATCATGAAATTGTATGAATTGTAAATTTGTAAATTGTATGAAATTTCTCCTTTAACTGCTTTTATTTCGAGTACCGTTTCGAAAATCGAAAAATGATTCCTCTATAGTACCAGCTCAAGAATATTACCTTTCACAAAAGATGCTACACTTGATACTTTTGAGCAAGTTTAGAAGGAGAAAAAGTGTTTACAGAACAAAAAAGAAAAAAAAAAAGAAATAAACATCATTGTAAAACCAATACATTCCTTGCTCCGCTCAGAATCTAAAACAATGGAGTTACAGCTTGAAAAAGTTTGAATAATTCGACTACCAAGCCACTATATTATCAACAAACAATTATTATTTTAAGTTTACCTAATAATTTCATTTATAACCTAAAGAGTTTTTTGTTAACACTAAAAACCATTAAAACTGTGTAAAAACAGTGTTTAACAAATTATGATCACGTTAGATTCCATAAAGTAAAATTATAAATATTTATTTAATTATTGTAACCAACCGGTTAAAAATTACACTGATTTTCAAAATGAATTATTTAGTTTATAAAAATAAAAATTTTGTTCTACCCACTCTACTATGCATTAGTTGCATAGTTGTTGATCCTAATCACTGGAAAAAAAGGAAACTACCTAATGCGCTCCCCTTTATATCTCTAACCATTCGGTACATTTAGATCTCAGGATAAAATTTGTAAAAGATGAATTCACTACAAGCGTTTCCACAGCAGACTGCTCAATCACCCAAACCCACTAATAAAAAACGAAGCAGTTCCTAAAATTCCCGTTAGACATCTTAAACATAACTGGTATTACGACTTGCTAGACGCATGAATTCTAACTTCTACAAATCTTAAGTGTTCATAATAGGTAGTGCCATCAATGAGTGGCTTCTTTCTTCAAACTTTTCATTTTTATTTAATTCTGTATCAAATTTGCTTATTGTTCTTATGAACAGATTGTAAATATCTTGTAAAAATAATAAATAAAAAGTTTATAAAAATGTATAAATGGATATTAAGTATGAAGTGGGAGGTTTATCTCCTTTAAAATAAGTAATAAACAATAGTTGTTCCTATAAAATTTAAATAATAATAATAATCTACATAAAATCAAAAAATTATGTATGACATAATATTGTTTGAAAATATTAGCAATCATCAGAATTTGCAAAGACCACTCTACAACTAAACTAAATAAATAATGAATACCAATGTTTATCATAATCAAAATATACTAATAGTCGAAAAAGTAAAATTTATCAATAATTGCAAACCAACTATTAAATCAAGTTTAATATGTCAATATGGCATAGGTGGCATGCAGCAGAACATATTATTACCATCGAGTATGCAGAATTCATCATCGACACAAGTGTGCTGGATATAACTGTCCTCAATGGTCGGATCGTAATCGGCTACAAACATTTTTTGAAAAAATTGAATAGTGATCGCGCTTTTACCCACACCGCCGTCACCGACCACCACCAGCTTGTATGTAGGTAATGGATGGTTGGGGGCCTGGGTTATGGCGCGACGATGGCGGGTGAACTCTTGTTGTGTCGTGTACGCGAACCGTGACGTCAGTTTGTCTAAACAGGAAAACAGAAAACGACAGGATCGTTAGTACGTGATCACCAGATCGTATTTTAAATTTTGTTTTTTTTCTCTCTCTATCTCTCTATCAACCTCTTCCTCTCGTAACGTTTTTCCCGTTCCCGACAACGTTTACCTGAGTGCCAAACTAGTTGGATTTACGTGATCGAACGGGCGAACGTCATTACCACAGCTTGGGCAGGGTTCGTGCACAGGGAAACTTGGCGTTTGGTTGTAGACGCGTTAGAAAAGCGGCACTCGCGGAAACGGAGACTCCCGTTTCAGTGGCAGCGAGTACGTTCGGTTTTCCTGTAAGTAAGTTTCAGTTATCGGAACACGACGTGGGTCCATACGCGATCAGTGAGAAGTGCCGAAGTCGTAGTCGTAGTCGTCGTAGTAGTATAATAATAATAATAATAATAATAATAATAATAATAATAGTAATAGTAATAATATATCGTCGGGAAAGACAAAAATATTTATCAGCACCCCGAGTGCCTGGGACGGTTGATAAGACGCGATAAACACACGGTCATGAACGGGTAACCGCGGCGGCCAAGGACGGTTAGGATTAAACGCGCGCATGCGCTGGGTCCAACTATAGTGATGATAGCGGTCTGATAGCAGACCCTTATAGGTCCGCTGCATGTTGTTTCGATGTTTGAAAAATGTATCGGGTGAAAATAGCCGTACGTATCGTGCACGTGCTGGACGGTATTCGTTCCCGTGGTCCGTATGCGTAGTCCAGACCATCCATGCGAAATTCTCTCGCCAGAACCGAACATGACTATCAGCAACAGCAAGGGATACATCTTGCACGAAGGCCCTGCGTACTCGTTGGCGCTGAACAAGGAGCATACCCACGTAGTGGTCGCAGGAAGGAACGGTAAGCTTTGGGGTTTTCGAATGGTACAGTGCCCATACCGGTTTCGTAAGCTTCCGACGTTAAATCTCATGTTGTTCCAGTGTTCAAGGTGTTCCTCATCGAACAGGGTGGCTTTAAGGAATGCGTCAACTTACGATGTGGCAAGACGTCCAGTGTGCAGAGCTCTTCGAGCATGGATGTTGCTTGGAACCCAACTGATGGTAAGGATTTGGTGGCGAACTCCCTGTGTTAGCCATTTACTGATAACTAAATTCAACATTCCCTGGGGTCCAGAGGAAAATATAATTTTAACAAAATACCTATTAAAAGATTTATTAAAGCTTCTGCGTGAAAAGTAAAATCATATGAATAAAGAATTATTTGAATTCTTGTACAGGCACACGAATATATTTTAATTGAAATGCAATTATCTATGGTCCAGTTCATGGATCATAAAATAAAGTTTTTAGCCATGCACTTGCCAGTGTTCAATGTATATTTATTTGATTTTTCTTTAACTTTGTAGCTGTTTAATTTATTTTGCTCTATGTGGTTTTAAAATATACATTTTTTATTAAATACATCCCGATATCTAATCAGCTACATGCCTAATTTTACATTTATAGACAATGTCTTAGCAACTGCTACAACTGGTGGTGCTGTTGTAACATGGAACTTAAACAGATCTTCTAGAAACAAACAAGAGCATGTTTTCTACGATCATAGGAGAACTGTTAACAAAGTGACATTCCATTGTGTTGAACCAAATTTGCTTATGTCCGGATCTCAAGATGGTACCATAAAATGTTTTGATTTGCGATTGAAAGAAGCTCCAAAAACTTACTCAAGGTATTTTTGTATTAATAGGTACTTATAACACTGTTTAAAAATGTCAACTATGATCTTGTAGTGATTCTGAAAGTATTAGAGATGTCCAGTTTAGTCCACATAATAGTTATGTATTTGCTGCAGCCTCAGAAAACGGTACTATTCAAGTATGGGATACTAGAAAAGCTGAAAAGTGTTTAAATAAATTTTCTGCTCATAATGGGCCAGTGTTCTCTTGTGACTGGCATTCAGAACTTCAATATCTGGCAACTGCAAGTCGTGATAAAACAATCAAGGTAACATTTAGATATAACGGTTATTGATTTCCGACTAGGACATTTAATACAATTATATTGATAGATTATGCATTATTTTCTTTTTTTAAAGTAAGTATACATGATCATAGGCTTGCTTTTGTTATGGGCTATCATATATTAATAGAAACCGTGTGTGATTATGTAACACAATATTATATATATTGTGTAAGACATCACTATATTTAATTAAATGGTCATAAACTGAGTAATAATTAAAAGATGCTATAAACTGTTAATTCATATTCCTAGAATAACGAATTAGGTTAAATCTACAAGACCTATCACTGGATATTGCCAAAACAACAAGTTATATGACGTCAGTGAAGCAATATAAAAGTATGATGGAAATTACCATAAATCAGATGAGTTCTAGTCATTGCAAAGCAAACAAATTGCAAGCAAATTCATGTCACTTAGTATCAAAATTTTGATGAAGACTTTGAATTGTAAAATAAACGTGTTAAATGTATTAAAAGTTAAGTCTCATGTCTAATTAATTAAAATTAAACACATCTTTGGCTGCTCAATTTGAAATTGAGCCAGTGGCACGTAACACTTTGATGAACTTTTAAATGTTTTTATTTTACTTATATTTGTTTTATTTACTTAAATAATAATCTGATAGGTATAAAATTTAAACAATTATTTTTTATTATAATTTTTTGCGCAGGGACTTAGGCTTCTATACTTTGTAGTAAAAATTAGTTAGGTATAACTTGTGTTGGAAAAGTTTTTTTTGAAGGCACAAAAATTTTCTTTTATCAGAATAGTTGTCTCATACAGATAATTAAAAACCCCAGTTACTGGTATTAAACCGATAAATATGTGATATATTAGTACAGCCACATTATACCACCCAGCTGTAATTCCTATTTTATCCAATTATATTATTACAATAAATCTGTTATATTAAGGCATTGTAACAAAATAACTATATTTAAACTATTTATAGTGTGTAATTAATATTATACAAATATATATCACATGTGGTTTTGTGACTTGTAGTTAGATATTAGTCAAGAAAAATTAAAATCCATTTTTATTTGTTTAGGTATGGAATGTTACAAATAAACCGGTTGCTGAATATACAATTAGCACTATTGCTCCTGTTGGACGTGTCAAGTGGAGGCCATACCGTAGATATCATTTGGCATCTAGTGCTTTGGTTCTAGACTCTGCTATTAATGTTTGGGATGTACGCAGGCCTTTTATTCCTTACGCATCATTTGCTAAACATACTGATGTAGCAACTTGCATTGCTTGGAAAGGAGATCCTTTTGTACTTTTGTCTACCAATAGAGTAATATTTATATATTAAAATTTATGATAACATTTTAATTATTTTTAATAGATATTTTAATTACAGGATAGTACTTTGCATCAAAATTTCATTAGTGAAGCAGATTTACCATTGGAAAGTGCTAACCTACAAGGTATGGCTATCAATAGAGATGGAGATTTGGTATACTGTTGTCCAGTCAATTTGAGTAAAGTTGAAGTGCCCAAACCTAAAGAAAATTCCAGGTGATAAAATATTTAAAAAAAAAAAAATACATTTAATTAGTAAAACATTTGAAAAATAAAGAATTCCAAGTATTATGTTTAAAAAACTGCTGTCTCAGGAAAACTTCAACTACAACTAGCGGGGAAGAAGAACTAAACACATCAAGCGAAATGAAAGTATTCCGTGATCCAAAAATTGTTACATATTTATCTGATGATGCAGAGTGTATTCAGATGTGTGCTATTCAGTATAAACTTAGGGGAAGATCAATAGGAGAACTATGTGAGCACAATGCCAATGTTGCTTCCAGTGTTGGAAGACCAACAGTAATTTATTTTGCATAATAAATACTCCTATTCAATAGTATTGACATTAATCAGCTTTCTAAATAATATTTACTATATAGGTGTTTTTATTGTGGAATGTGCTACGAATACTATATGATCGTATATCTCTAATTTCTCTTAAGGAAGATATTATGAGTAGTTCAAACATAGAAAGCAGCTATGATGATGATGGAGAAGACCGAGCTGGGTCCAGTAGTGATGAAGATGGTCTCAAAGCAGATAAACAGAATCAGTTGGGCGATTTCTACTTTGGTGATGCAGAAATCGATCCTTTGGATGCTGAGCACGATCAATATGATTGTCTAGGATTGCAGATGGACAGTAAGACCGTAGAAGAAGATAATGATTGGGAAGTTCCTGCTGAATCCATTGCATTGAGGCATGAAATTTCACATCAGCCCATAGTCGATGATCCCTACATGCCTGAATTAGCGTCTGTTTCTAATAAAATGAGTAGGAAATAAATAAAAGCATGATTGTTTTTAATGAATAGCATTAAACTTATTAAAATTTTCAGATAATAACAATATTTCTGCACCATTATTGAGAATAACATCTCCTGCAAAATTTGATGCCTGGAATCCGTCCGAGATAGTTGTTGAAGCTCTTCGTCATCATGTTGACCAAGGTGATGTCCAAACAGCAGTTTGTGCATTGATTGTATTAAGTGATGAGATTAGAAATGAATTGACCAATCCCAAACGTCCTTGGCATCTTTTACACGATGAAATTGAATGTTGGTGGTTAAATTACCTTGAATTACTTAAACAATTTAAGCTATGGTCCTGTGCTACAACGGTATTAATAAAATAGTTCAATTGATCATCTTGTAAAAAACAATATACTGTGGTTATAAATAATTTTTTATTCTATTTAAATTAGGTGATTCAACTATCTCGCATTCGTAACATATTACAATTACATCGAACTTCAACGTCAGTTTATTTGAGTTGTGGTTGGTGTTCTAAAGGTTTAACTCGAAGTAGTCGACACTGTTACAACTGTCAACATTCTGAATGTGCTCGATGTGCTCTATGTCAAAGAATTGTGCGAGGAATGTATGCTTGGTGTCGAGGATGTGCACATGGCGGACACATTGGACATATGAAACAATGGTTTATGGAGAATAAATATTGTCCAACTGGATGTGGTCATATGTGTGAACATTAGTAAGTATTAATTTCATTGCATATTTTAATATAATAAATCTAAATGTATATGCCATAGTTCATTAAATATAATTTTGTAATTTATTTTATTACTGGGGAATGAGATGGCAGTGCTGATTGCGCTCCATCACCAATTCAAAACCATCCATGGATAGCCTCAGTTGTCTGTTTATAACAAACCTAATGGTTTAAAATATAAAAATAATAGTATAAACTTCTTAGTTTGAAAGTTATAGGTAGAAAAAACACAAGTATATACTTTAAAATGATATAATAAAATTGTATAAAAATAATACATAAAATATGATTGGATTTTAAAGGTTATATTAAGTATTAAGCAATAATATATAGTATGTATTACATACATAGAGACATATTATGTTCAAAAAGTTTATTTCACCCGTAATAAATATACATTCTAAGTATTTGGAACACATTGAATAATATATATATATATATATATATATATATATATAAGATTATGATAGTATAAGCATAGATTATACTTAGTTAAATTAAAATTGTATCAATTCTGTGATAAAAGCTTAAGAATGGGTATTAAAAGGAGACATTTTATCATAAAATCATATAAAGTGAAAATCCTTGATATATTTTTAGGACGAAGATAATGAATCAATACTTTTCAGAAAAAAAAATTAAAATATTGATAGAGCTTTAAAAATAATAATAAATAATAAAGAAATTAATTTTCTTAAATGTTGATGGTCTTTTCTTTTCATACAATATTACATTTCAACTTCTTCCGTCTATTTTTGTCTTTACCTCGCCCATTTGCTCCTTTAACATCTTCCTTCTTGCGAGCACGTATCTCACGCATCAAGTCAAAAAATACCTGTAATAATGATTGATTGTTGTTAACCTATTTATAAAACATTTAATTATGTTTTTACTCACTTTATCAACATTATCTCTTGTCTTAGCAGATGTTTCAACATATGGCACACCCCATTCTTGAGCTCTTGACTGAGCTTCATTAAGGGATACTTTTCGTTTATCTGTTAAATCTCCTTTGTTACCAACCAATAGAAAAGGTATATTTTCATCATTCTTTACTCGAAGAATTTGTTCTCTACCAAAATTAATTAAAACTCAATTAACAAAATAAATGTTTTTTTTTTTTTTTTTTTTAACAAAAATACATTAACATTAGTCATTACTATAAATAAATACAATAGTATAAAACTTTAAATATATTAATCTAGAGTTAAGATAAAAATAGCCTTTATTACTGATTTAAATTGTATACATTTTCTATTTATATATATATTTTTAAAATACTAGAATAAATGCATTTTTATCATGGACAACATTTCCAAATGATTATTTTGAAGATTGCAAGTAGTATTTTTCACTATACAATTGAAATGGTCTGAACCTTATATTAAATTAATTTAATGTTAAATAATTTGATAAAATATACTTCAATAATTTATCTATTTACATTTTTGGTGCATTATAAGTGTTTATAATTATTAAATCACTGATCTATCTGTTAAATTTGATATATTAATTATTACAAATCATTATACCATAAAATTTATACTACACATTTATAAAGTATTGATAAACATAAACATGATAGTGTATTGCATTTTATCTATTTATTACTTAATGTTGGTAATAGGAATATAAGATGATCAAGAATAATTCTGTACATAACATACCTAAATTCCATTGTTGCTTGAAAACTATCATCTTCTGTAATAGAAAATACACATAAAAATCCTTCGCCACTTCGAAAATAGTTGTCACGTATAGCAGCATAATCTTCTTGACCAGCTGTATCCAATATATCGATTTGAACTTCTTCGCCATCCAAGACAACTTTCTTACGGTATGAGTCAGCTTTAGTCGGTTCATAATCTTCAACAAACTACAACAGGACATGTGAAATTTAGTTACATCATACTATTAAATTAATAATAAACATAAATATTTCTACACACCTCGTCGTACATGAATTGAAGGGTAAGAGCAGATTTACCAACACCACCACTACCAACCATTATGACTTTGTGCAAAGCGGGCTGTTGAGCACTATTTTTCTTCATGGTTTGTTATAAAAATGTGCTGTTGGCGCTGTAAAGAAAATATGAAAAATGGCATACATCTATATTAATTGTTGTCTACATAAATGCACAGTACAATGCGATTCTAATGGTGGGTCAAGTGAAATCTCTGTATGGGCATAGCTTTCTCACTAATTACGTACGAAAACAATTATGGGAAGAAAAAAAAAATGTTTGAATAATATTAAGGCGGTGTCTACCATCCGTCAGTGGTCAGTGGACACGAGTCGTGGCGAGTGGGGAAGGGGAAACGATGAGAGGATTTTGATTATAAAGTATTAAAAAAAAAAAGTAATCACCTTGTTTACGTTACTACAAAACAATTATAAAAAGAATCTTGAAGTCTTCTGTTAAACGTTAATGATTAATTTATTTTAGAGTCTTACATAGGAAAGTGTTAATTGATTTTCGAAAGATAAATATTGTTTACATTCTAGTTGTGATATCAATGAAGATTTTGGTTGGTTTATTGAGTGTTAGTAATCGACGAAGCGAAACTACCAGTGTGACCACACCGAGAGAATATTTCTTGATTCCCAAAAGTTTCGATTTACGCCAATTATTTTAACAATCTATAAATAATTTTATAAATATACCGTGTTGTAAGTGCAGAGAAACAAACGAGTGTATATGCATCGAGGACGATCTGCGCTTGGCTGCCTAGTGCCGGTTAGGTTAGGTTAATGCCGGCTTTAGGTTTTACGTGGCCCCGGACCATGTAAAAATTGTTAATTTTTTACTATTGTTTCGAATCAGGAAAGTGGTAATAAAATAAAGGTTTAATTGCCCCTTTAAAAGTACTTGATGCATTATGATGTGTCTGTTTTTCGATCGTTTACTGTACCATGTATTAGATGTTTGGTATAAATTTACCCGTAAAGCGTTTACAGAAAAAGATTTGCGAAAAAAGAATAATGTATAACTGCTGTTTTTAGTAGTTGTATTACGTTCAATATATTTACTGATATCTTTAGGCTTTCTTTTTGAAAAAATCCCGAATACGTCGCTATTATATGTGCGTATCCAGTTAACGAATTACTTCGGATTATTCAGCTATATATTTTATCCACGTTCCGGATATCTTCGGTACGATTTTTCTTATCGATCTCGTTCTGCGTTGCATATATTTATGTTGTATACATTAATTTTTATTTATCTGTTAAAAAAAATGTTTCTGTTAAAATTGATTATAATAATTTATTTTTATATAAATATATAGCTATTATATATTCTTTTTCGAATGCACCTATGTCTTTAGCATATTGTGCGCTGACGTTTTCGAAAATTCCAACTTCGGAGTGCATACCTGTGTCTTCGTAACCATCAACAGTGATAATGTAAAAATGGCACCTACGATGGGTCTAAAACGTCAGGAAACTACGAAAGCCACCGAAATTCTGTAAAAAGAAAATATAACAGTAATAATATTTTCATGCACTATCCGACGTTCGGTTCGTGTGAAAACCGTGAAAGTACTTACTGCAAAACACGGCGGAAACGTCTATTTTGGCATGTGCGTCAGAGTGTAAACAATGTTCGTGAACGCTGGGTGACACAGAATGATTAATATGTCATAAATAATAATCATCGTTACATTACGTATGTTATAATCCCCTTGCCGTCCCCTTGGCCCTTACTCAGTATTGTAATCGACGAGATAAACGTCGCCATAAAAGACGGATTTTTATGGAAATACTATATGTGTTGTGTAGCATATTTCTACGCGCGACGTACTTATCTGTGTATGGTCTACGACAAGTAGATTGAATAATTGTTTGTGTTATTATAATATTTTAACCTTGTATTATTATTATTTCATCCGGACACGTATTTAACACGACGTCGTGTGAACTTCATTCTTCTATAAAAGGTCGATGATGTGTTATTGTAACTATTTTTATGTTATTATTCGAATATGTAATTTATACGTTTAAGTTCTTCTTTACTTCACATCAAGTACTTTATATTGTTTGATTATTTTTAAAAATTATTTCGACAAGTACACTATCCGGTTGAAAAAATATTATGTTAAAAATGTAATAAAAAATAATGTTCTAAAATAAGTATATCCAGAAAATAAAAATATATTAAATAAAAATCATTGAAAATAAGTAGGTATAACATTTTAAATTGAAACAAATTAATTTATGTAATTATACTTTAAGAATATTTTTTAAGTATTAAAATTTCAAGTATAATTACAATTTATTCTATAAATTGTAATTAAATAATAATAACGAAAAACAAAAAAAGAAGAACCTATGTACTGACTGAATTACTCTGCCTTGTCCGAAAAATATTTTACTTTTTTAAATTAGAGAAATTACCTATTCGATGTGAAAACAAATGTTAGGTTGAAAAAAGTGAGGAATTGTCGTATATTCCAACGATATTTATTTATACTATATTAAATTTTCATAGTCCTCCATTGGTGACCATTGAAATTTACATATTATGATGAACTAAATCACAACAAATTAAAAATAAATAGCCCACGATAAAAGGTTGATTGATTTATTAAAACCAAATTATTAATATAACAAAACCACAATCTCACATTTAAGCGGAAAAAAACGACTGTCTGACCTCTATGTTTGTCTGTTATATTTGCATGTGAAATCGTATGAAATGTTTTATAAGCATTCTTTACTGTCACGAAGCAATGCCAACACACAATCGTAATACTCTGTTTTAATATTTAATCCTTATGTATATTAAAAACCGTTATTATAAATATTTAGGTGTTCGTAACAATGGAATTCCAGAGCCATATCATAACAAATATTTCACCTGAAGTAATGCCTAACGGTAACTACAGTTTGCGAGTGTATTGCTAGTCTTAAATAAAAAAAAAAGAGGAGAGCGACAAATTTTCCTAACGTAACGTGTCAAAATGTAACCGATATTCCCCCCCCCCCCCGCGTGCCAGTTAATTATGTGTAACTATAAATATATTATAAAAAAAATGTATGAATTTAAATGTATTTATTATATTTATTCAGCAACTAAATTTAAAATTTAATTTATGAAAATAACATTACATAAGTATTTGTTAGATTCCTTAATGTGATTTTTGTTGTTTTACATTAGATGCCAGTTCGTTTTGATTTGGTTTAATGTTTGTACTACTTTATTCACCTGTTGGTTGATTTCTTAATTGATATATAAGATATTAAATTTCATAAAAATATACATGGATTTGATTAAAAAAAAAATTAAAACAAATCAAAGAACAATCTAATTATAACAATATAAGTAGCACTAATAATTCATAAATTTATAAAATCTGCAATATTTATCCACAAATGGAAGCAGTGGTATTTTCATACCCAGCGCAAAGTTTGTTAGTCTTGGGCGCATCCAGGAAAAATAATTTAAACTAGCTATTTAATTCATGGTTCATTGAACACCAATAACATCTTACTCTATACAGGTAATTTCATAAAGCATAAAGTCGTGCGATTGTATTTTATTTGAAAAATACAAATATTTTAATAATTAAAAAAAAAGTAATTTAATTTAATTTTATATTATCTTATTAACTTATTTATATTAATTTTTTATATTTTATTTAAATAAGTTCACTTGATATGTGAACTAAATAATGTAGCAACATGCTTATGTATTATTGTTATTCAAGTTAATTAAAGTGAATTATTTTGTGAATTGTTTGTATTTATTCAAGTAGGTAAAATATAAATCAAATGTAATTTCATAATACTTTGACTGTCTAGATTATTTAGTTTTTAATAAAAAAAAGAATTATTAAGCTTTAAAATATAGGTACTTTAATTTAGCAGTTACCAAATTATTATCCAGGTTCAAATAATAATACAGCATTATCTCGATTAACTATGTTCATTCTTTCGACAATTTGTATGTTTCAAAAGTAATGCCATAGGTGTATATATTGCACGTAGGCTAAAGAAGATTAATAAATAAAAAAAAAAACCATGTTTGGACTATGTTATAAATAGATTTATGGTAATAGTTGATATCCCCCTCAATTACAATCATAAAAATATTAACTTTCATGATGTCACGAATTCAAGTAAAATTAGAAGTGAAGTAAGAAAAATAATTTTAAACAGAAATTAAAGTCTCATTACTTCAAATGTCAAGCATTGATAATTTTAAGAAGTAAAAATATGCATTTATATATCATAGGTAAAGTAAATTGTAGTAATAAATAAAAAATTTAATTAAAATTCGACAAATAAAAAGTCTTGATTAACCGTGGTTTTCATTTATCCGTGTGATTCCATATTTAGTAATCTAAGAGATATAAAAATATTAAATTATTATTATTCAAAGAATTTCATGGCACACCATAAATGTTTTGACTCCATATGAATCATTCGGTGCAAGTGCAAAATGTCCGATAGAAGAGTCAGGAAAAACGTACATCGTTCCACTATATATCTAGAGGGGCATACATCTCCTCGATGACCATAACATTGGCTTCTTCGTTGGATCTTCGTCGTACGGATTGTCTACCACATCCACCAATACGTCTTTTCAAGTTAAAAAAAAAATACCAATCATACCGTTCACCCATTCCAACACTAGGAGTCTCGCTTTTTTTTTATACTTGAAATTTTTAAGTATAAGTATGTATTAAATGCAAAACCAGACCCAGGTTATTCAGGTAATATGATTGTGCAAAGGTTAAATAATACATATAGCAACAAATTTTATTGTACAACATAATTAATGCGGTTAAATGAGTGATTAGTGATTTTTACCTCTATGCTTTGTTCCTTTTCTGTACTGAAAAAAATTGTCATACCATACACATCTATAATACTTCAACTTATGACCAATAAACAGATAAAATGTATTTTTAATAAGATATATTTGCGAATGTCTAGAAACTATCTAGTTCAAACTTCACTACATGTCCCAATAACGTATCGTTAACTTTAATAAAATTATTTTATATCTTACAATTATTACTCGGTGCACACATTACTTAATATATACGTGTGTATCAGTATTTCAATGTCACCAACAATATTCTCACTTCAAATTTTTATTTTTATCGGAAATATAACACGTTCACATTTTAATAACGAATATATTTTAAAGGTACATTGTAATTTTTTACTTCACTTGCGCAGGGAAACTTGTTTAAGGGTGACTTATAGAAATTATTGTAAACATAGATTTAATTTGAATTTTCATATTTATCATTTTAAATAAACTAAATTAAATGTAATATAGCAATTTGTAAGTTACATTTTTAACAAACTTTATTTAACTTTAAATATACAATATATAATATTACAAAATATACAATAGTAATATATAAATAATACCAAAAACATATAAAAAAAAATAAATAAATAAATAAAAGTGTAGGTGTAAGTGTTAAGGGGGGCTGCACACTGAAGAAACTTGTATTAGAAACCAATTTAAGAAATAAATTTCATGAAACTAGTTTTATGAAATTAATTTCTTATTTGCGTACACCAGTGAAACTAAAGCGTGAGAAACTAATGTATAGTTTCGACAATGTCGTCTGATGATGAGGATGTGTTTATGTTATATTGGTGGCTTCGTAACAAAAAAAGGAAACGTAGGTATTGGATTCATCCACTTTTAAAAGATAAACAGCATAGTAGCTATGTAGTTGCAAAGGAATTAACCGCCGATGAGGATAAATTCCAAAGTTTCTATAGAATGTCTCAAGTTGCTTTTCATCGTTTAGTGCAGTCAGTTGGACCACATATAACGAAGAAAGATACTAACTGGAGAATGACTTTAGAACCAGAAGAAAAACTCATAATAACATTGAGGTAAGTTTAATTATATATTTTATTCTAGAAATAGAAATTCAGTAAAAAAAAAATTACAAATTTAAACATTTTCTGGGTTATAAAAATTAATGAAATTTAGCAGAAAAATACAGTATACTAATTACAAAATACTAGTTTTTGTTATTCAATTTTTTGGTCTTCTGAGCAAATATGGTTGAAGTTCTTGGTACAGCATGTTAGGGTGGTCAATCTCAGAAGAATTCTGTTCTGATGTGTGAGAGTGACCATCATATGATGAGGAATGATGTTGAAAAGTTGTTTGATAGTTGTTAGATGTCAAGTATGGTATTGGTGGTTGTCCAAGTGTTCTGTCAATAAGATTGCCCACATCGCGTCTGAAAGCTCTGAATTGCACTGTACTCATTTCTTCTAAATCTGGAAGTAGACTTAATAAAAAAAGTTTTTTCGCATTATCTTCATTTGGTGGTTTATTTGACTTTGCATGAATGTAGTTGATTATGCAATCGTCTGCAGTATCAACTTGTGTTTTTTTCTTTTTCTTTGGAGGCCCCATTGCATATTGGCTTGTAGTTTTGGTAGTATCTGCACTAATACTACAAGACGAAACATCGTATGTGGGATTTTCAATGTCATTGCGTATATCCGATCTGTTTATTTCGGTTGGGTTTTCTTCTTCAAATTCTTGAAATTCCTCGTTGTTCGGTGGTGATGGTAAATTTCCGGGTAATGATTTGTCCAAAGTAATTTTAATATATGGTTTTAGAAAACTCATATTTTCTGAAAGATACCACGTCTTATTTTTATTATTCACTCCAGATCCAGAAGGTGGCTTCTTTATAGCACGTGTATAAACTATTCTTAAGTTTCTCCACGATTCCTTGCATTCTTTTACTACAACAAAGAGAAAACAATTATTCTATTAACCGCTAGGCAGTATACAAATGAGTGTTTGACATGCATTTTTTAACTCTGTTTAATTATGAGCAATATTTATAAGAATTGGAGTTTTTATAAAAATCAATATTAATTATATTATTTTATGAGTATTTTTATCAGTACATATTCTATTAAATCGTAAAAAACAAGAAAATTTGTTTATTTTGTTAACCTAAAAATTCACAACATTTTTTTATTATATTGTTTCAGATATCTGGCCACAGGCGGCAGCTTTAGAGCTTTGGCTCACTACTTCGTAAGAGGTGAAAGAACAATTGGTATGACTGTTGCAGAAACAACAGAAGCTATATGGACCTGTTTACATCCAGAATGGTTACCTGTTCCAGATACAAATGCATGGAAAAACATTTCAGCACGTTATCAACAACTATGGAGTTTGCCTCACTGTTTGGGATCGATTGATGGCAAGCACATAAGAATTAAAAAATTTGGAAATACTGGCTCTCGTAATTTCAATTACAAAGGTTATTTTTCTGTTCAACTTATGGCGTGTGCAGATGCAGATGGTTGTTTTGTTACTATTGATGTAGGCGATCTTGGTAGAAACAGCGATGGGGGAGTTTTTCGTTCATCTCGTTTAGGTCGATGGTTGCAAGCTGATGGTCTTAATTTACCACCACCAGAACCATTACCATTTGACGAAAACGAACACAACTTCCCTTATTATTTTTCAGCAGATGAGGCATTCCCTCTTAAAACATATATTATGCGACCATATCCTAGAAGCTCTTTAACTGATAAGCAACGAGTTTTCAATTTTAGGCTGTCTTTAGGTCGTAAGACAGTCGAGTGTGCCTTTGGAATGCTCACATCTAAGTTTCGTGTGTTTGAAACGCCTATAGGTTGCTCAGAAAAAACCGTGATATCTATTAAAAAATGTGCATGTGTTTTGCATAATTACATTCGCAAAACAGAAGGAAAAATGTATACGCCAAGAAATGATGTTAATATTGATGAAGACACTCATATGCCGAATGTAAACTTAGAAATAAACAGAAACGTTAATTTAACGACAGCAAAGGGAATGAGAGACTACCTCAGTGATTACTTCTTAAAACCTGTTGTTGCTATTCCACCTCAATGGTTAAGAATTGTGGGAAGTATAGAGTAATCACATGGTTATTAAATATGAAAATAAAAATATCACTATAGTCGCTATAGATATATTTGGTAACTTATACTTATATTTATATTTATACTTATACTTGTATAAATAATAAATTAAGTTTATGA